TGTAGTGGTGAAGGTGCTGGCTTAAAAACCAGGAGGCTGTGAGTTCTAGTCCCTCCTTAGGCGTGAAAAACCAGCTGGGTGACTTTGGGCCACCTTCCCTTTTTCAGCCCTTCTCTTTAAATATTAACTAATTTTATTACCCATAAAATTTCATGGGTCTCATCCACTTAATGAGATAAAGTACCCATGAATGAGGTATTTTTAGTTGGTTGGGAAGCAGGTGAAAAGTAGTCATGAAAATAGGTAACATTGTTTTATAGCCCTGAAAATATAGAAACAACATTCCTTAGATCATGATAATAAATAAAATGGTGGTATTAGACTACTGTTTTGTCTTTAAGTCCTTAAAACAATCCTGCCCATTCTCACAATTCTATTCTCTCTCGCACCTCATTTTCTGTATTTATTATACTCATCAGATGAAATGTACTTGAGTATCAAGGAGGATTGTCAAAATAATAAATGTAGAATGTGGGAATAAATGTAAAATGTGGGAATCGATGAGGAAAGCAAAATTAAAAGTGGCCATCTGGGAGGTGGGTTCAGACTTGAAATATTCATAACTTCTCTGCCTTGGTAGAGGACATACTAATGCTAACCCAATACTAAAGGGCATGATAGATTTAATTTGGGAATATAAAGTTCAATGTTCAGTCCCAGCCTAGAACGTAAGTCTGGAAAAGATTTCTGAGTCACCAGGGAGCTGCAGAAATCAGTCAACATCCTTGGACTTGATTGTCCATTTATTTGTCAATGTTTAGCAGCTTCCTTTATACTCCCGTGTCCCCCTTCAATAAAGCCCTACTTTACTTCCTCTAAAAAAGTTGACAGTAGTCCTTCTGCCTGCATGGTGACTTATCAGGTAACCCCAAAGAACTGGATCCAGGAAGTCATCCTGCACAGATAGGAGAGGGCACTCTGGAAACTGAGTCCGTGTCACTGGCAGTAGGGGAAGGGTTCCCAAATGGTAAGTTTTTGTCTAATTGCTATTTTATGTTGGGAAGGAAGGAAGGAAGGGTCATTGAATTTCATTGAAACGAGCAACGAGTGTTCTTTACATTGTATTGCTATTAGCAGCGTAAAAGATTAAGCTATGAAAATAGAAGGAGTGAAAGAGAATAAAACTTTTGACAGCTAATCTGTAATTCTAGATGTCAGTGCAAAAGGTATCAAGATTGCTCAAAGGATGTGCCAATTTCTTATATCAGCTGACACTTTACCAAGAGTTAAACAGTATTTAAAGTGTTTGTGTCTTTGTATGTAGAACCTATTCAGATTTTATTGACAAGTATAGGGTTTATAACCGAAACGATTGAGCTCCCACTCTGAAACATTCTCAGATAACTACTGATTTCCCTACAATAATTTGTTATGAAGTCAGCTACAGAGAAAAGATACGTGTGCTAAAAAAAAATTCTTGATGATAGAAAAATGTCGGGGAAATGAAGTGCTGTGACTTAAATCTTGAGGGTGAAACAACTGATTTTAGAATTATATTAATCCCTTTCAGTAGATGGAAGAAACTAGAAGTCTGGATGAAAAGGACTTATTGAGTTAGTTTGGGAAGAGTTAGCAAAGGAGATTTTGCTATATTAGGCAGAACTTGGCAAGCATATTATTCTATAAATTCCTCTTAGACTTGCTAGGCTTATCAACAATGTCACCTTTTGCCTGTTGAGATCTTTTTATGCAATATTTTTCTGTTTATGTGTGAACCTTCTCTGAGAATAGAAGACCAACAGCAACAGATGTAACCCATACATTCTTATCATCCCTTCCCAGAGCCATCATGAAACCTAGCTGCTATTTCAACTGCTGCACTTCAGTTGCAGTCTGTAGGTGTTTACTGCTTTCCAACTACAATTATGTCACCTAGTGCAGGGATAACCAATTTGATACCTTCTAAATGTCTTAAATGGTAACTTTCGTAATCTTCAGAAACTGTCTTTTAGCTGGATGCCAACCAAACCTTTTCTTTTTAAGACTCTCTAGAGGAGGATAGCTATCCTGCTTCTGTTCTCTTGCATCATTTAAAGCTATTGTGGTGGGGTTTATTGTTATGCAGCTATAGCTACAGTTATAGTTTTTTAAAATAGGCCTTCCAGTGATGAGCATTCTAGAGTCCTTATCTATTCAAAGTGATGGAAGTAAGAAAAGTTTAAAACGTATTCATTTTCTCCCATTTAATTTCCTCTCTTTCTCTTTCTCTTGAAGCAATTTCTCTCTCATTTTCTGTCAAGAGTCACTCTGCACAGGATCTCAATCTACAGCTACAAGAGGTGGCAAGAAAGAAATTATGGGCCCTGGAAAATGACGATAAAGATGTTTGTGCTGTTTTCAAGGTAAAGTGGTCATTACTATTGTTTTCAAAGGAAACTGTATTTCTGTAACTTTTTGAAAAAGCAAAATAAAACTGTGAATCAGACCTCCGGTCATCTTGCCAGAATGAAGTAACAGTTCCTCAGAATCTTAAGTATAATCTTTCGCTGATGTACTGCCTACAATACCTTTAATTGGAAATACTGAAGATTGAACCACATGGAAAGCATATGTTATTGTACAGCTGTATGGCATCTGCTCATATTGTTTTGCATGGCTGCATACCCACAAGAGAGGCTGGAATATTACCATCTCCATTTATTATTTATTGCTAAGAGGCATTGTGAGTGCATAAAATGTGAAAATCAAACTATCAACAAGCCTCTGACCTATAAAATCAAATGCTATCTGTAATCACACATACACACACATAGCCTTTTCCTCTCTGTCTCAAAACATGCTGTGTGATAGCTTGGCTAAAACTGCATTACGCCCAAATTATAGATCTGTACTTCATGCCTGTGCAAATTTTAATCTAGATACTTGGCCACAATTTAAATGCTGCAAAATGTTTTAGGGTGATTTTATTTATATGCATTAACAACTTAAATATGCATAGCCCACGCATTCCTACAGTATTGATCTGTAGTGGTAGTAAAACCCCTTGGAAGAGACTCAGGGTTTTGGATGCAGGATAAAACTAAAGGAAATATAAGCTGTTTGAGTAAAAACCAACCAAGGGATCATACTCAATGGACTGACTACAAAATGCTATGTTTTGGGAACAGGGATGATGGAAAAATAGGAGAATAGAATGCCATATTTTGAAGAAGATACAGCTGGCTAGCGCATGGATCCAATCAGGTTTCACACTGTACCTTATTTTAGATCTCATATTTAAGAATGAATTCTTAATTCTTGATTAGATTTCATTGTCCCAGAGTAACTTACACCTTGTTTAAAGTTCCCATTTCCAAATGTCATGCCTATAATTTGCAAAAAACAAAAACAAAAAAAAAACCGATAAGACACATGCTAATATTTTATGCTAGTTAAATCTTCTCATTTTCTGTCTTTTTTCAGGAGCTGTCAGCCAGACTGGCATGCATCCAGGCACAGGAGAATCGCTTTCTACTTTCCTTCAGAACTGTGGAAGAAATCTGGAAGTTTTCCACTTATTTGGCACTTGGTAAATCACATTCCATTGACAAATGACTGGCATTCCATCAGAAGGACAGTTGTGGGAACATAACATATATTGGCCATAGTGTTAAAGCAGAACTACAGTGGATAACATGAACCACTTCTAATTTCCTTTTCAAAAACTAGTTTAATATACTATGAATGTCTCTGTAATTCAGGCACTGGAAAAACACAAGCTCTGTTGTTAATGTGACTCTTGGAAAGTGGCTGACAATTTGGGTTAAATGCTGGTCTGTAATAATAAATAAATACTGCTTTGATCTTTGGGGAAAGCACACTGCAGGTTTTCATTCTTCCTTTGGTATGATGAAATAGGATATGTGGGTTGCTGCCTGGAACACCTTCTCTTCAGTCCCGAGTACTGGTTGAACTGTGCTCAAGTAGATGATACTGAGATCACTGTCACTGTTGATGAGGACTGCATGACCACCATGTATCTGGGTCTTCTCCTCCAGGAAGGTAAGAACTCTGAGTCAGAATCCAACACCCACCCACCCCCAATGCTGTTTCACTGTAAAGTAGATCTCGAAAATGACAAGGAAGAAGGATATGTGAGAAAGATATGCAAGAAAGTATTGGATTGGAGCAGGGTTGAAATCTACTTACCTGGCTATCGGTTTGGTAGCAATGTGAGCTCGCTTCACTCCCATGTGCCACCTCCGTGCATGTGCAGGACCTTCCCACATGTGCAGAGCACGCCTGCAAAGGTAGGCAAACAGCAAGGGGGATGGGATCTGCTGTGCCATGCAGTTTAGATTAGCTAGAAAACAGGAAATCCTGCTTTCTAGCTAATCTAAGTCCCGTGTCACAGCTGATCATCATGAAAACCTGGTTCGCCCGAACCGGTAGCATTTATTTTACTAGGTTTGGGTGAATAGGTAGCATTTTTGTTACCGGTTCAGGCGAACCGGTCTGAACCGGTAGCATTTCACCCCTGGATTGGAGGTTAAATCTATGCATCTTCAAATATCTCTAAAACTTATTCTGGTAACAGTTAGCATCTACGCATTTACTTCCAATGTCAGGGGAGCATTCCAGCAGCAAAGAACTGTCTGGTAATAATCTTGAGCTATGGCTAGGCAAAGGGTGAAGGAATTAAGTGTATATAAATAATTCCCTTCAGCTGAAACAAAGTGTTTCTGATCCTTTCTCATTGCAGATATCTTCTGTAGGTAATTTTCTTTCTACTTCTTTTTTTCCCTTTCCTTTTTTGCATGTAAAAACACATTTTAAACTATTGGGAACCATTGAACTATCTCCATGTTAGACTACAGTGAGAAAAAAGAATTTGAACCATTCAATTATTGTGTTTAAAGTGACATTGAACTATATGAGATACTCTTGCAAAGAAGAAAGCCTCTGAAATCTTTTTGAAGGGAATCCTGTGCTAGCAGATAGTTTCATGGTGGCAACACCATGACAGGAAAAAAAATTGTTCCTGTTAGACCGTCAGCATAATCCTGGTATTACATGGAAATGGAAATGACCTGGAATAGAACTTTTAAAGATTTTAAAATGTGCAAGCGTTCTTAGGAAACTATTTGCAGAAGTTATGTTGTTTCTTTCTCTTCTCCTCCTTCTGTCCATAGGCAATTTTTTTGCCAGAGCAACACTCACTGTCCCTGCAGAGGAAGAAGAAGAGGATTTAAAGCTCCTCAAGAATGAATTAGTCCATGTGAAAGACATTGGACATGAAACTAAGTGGGAAGGGACATCATTGTTGACCGATCAGAGAGGACTGATTCATGTCACAACTATAGAGCCATTGCCCCATCCCTTTTACCAGTAAGTAGATTGCCATGTTTACATCCAGCTGTTGTTCTCTGAGCAGAGGATAAAGAGCCAGCGGAGCTTGGAAAATGTGGTTGGTGGGAAGAGGGGTAAAACAGCTCTTCCCTAGCTTTTCCCTGAGTATATCTGTAGTTAAGTAAATAGTTGTTTTAGTCTGACAAGATTCTGTCTATAGATGAAGAACAATGAAGGAAATTGCTCTTAAGTAATTCCAAGTGTCATTTTTTGGTTCTTGGCAAAAGCCTTCCATGGTAAAGAGCTGGCTTATTTGAAGGACTTCCTGATATCTCTCCCATCCCAACAGATTGAACAAAATGGGCATATTCTTGTGCTGTGAATGTGCTGAGTTCACTTGTACTACTTCAAGCAAAATATAATTTTCTAACTTTGAGATTAGAATCGGCTGCTGTTTGTCATGTGTACTTAAAATCTTATTTTCAACTTCTAATTCACTTATAACTTTTGCAATAATGTTCTCATTAGAATAGTTTGCAAATTTGATTTGTGTACAAAGATGTATGTTTGTGTAATGGGAATTTGTTTTGGCTCTTCAGTTACACACTTTGTCATATTGGCCAAATGAAGATTTAGTGTGCCAGATTTAATAGTGCTGACAAGCTTTTTTAAAAAAAATCAAGTCTGTCAAAATGTATGTACAAGCTATATTGGAAGGTCAAATCAATATTCTTTCTACAGAACATTACATGATGCCTAGACAATCTTCTCTAGATTTACTTTGGCTTCCCTGACTGACAATATCTCTCTGACAATTATTCCTGTCATTCGCTGCCTGGCTTTTTTTTTTTTAAGTGTAGGAGTTGGGGATATAATTTTGTCTAAAAAGCATTTACCGTATTTTCACCCATATAACCCGCCCACGCAAATAACCCGCCCACGCATATAACCCGCAGGGGGGCGCTGTGCATGTAAAAACCGCATATAACCCGCGGGTTATATGGGTGAAAATACGGTACTCTAGTATCAATCTGAAGTTCAAGATAAACTGTCTCCATCTCCAATAGCATAAGTCAAATATTTTGAAAACACTCATGAATTATCTTGATATTTGCATCTATATTTTAGCTCCAGAATCTTGATTTGTGTTGTGTTTGTGTAACACTCCTTTAAGACAGGCGTCAAGGCTATTGCTATCACTATCATCATACCTTTGGGCCTTGGATTCCATGAATGAATTATAAAAGAGAAGGCATACAAAGAATCTGATGCCATAGAGCAGATCTAGTAACTAACTGTCTCCTACCTTGGACATCAGACATATATTTCCTTCAATGAAGCAGTTTGTTCATGGCTGTTTCCATTTGCAGGTGGTTTTTGAAGAATTATCCAATCAGTTGTGGCATATCCAAAGAAATCAGTGGGCCTGACTCTTTGCAGATTGGTGAGTGTAATAAAACTCAAGATCAGTTTGCTTAAAAATCATCAATTGATCGCCTCCCTTTTTATTTCACTTGTCTATGTGCCACATTCATAGGACTTTCAAGCAGCCATTTGTTCTCAGTGTGTATGTTTGTGTGTGTGCGTGTACTGTATGTATTTATACACACACACACACACATACACAAACGTGTCTGTGTATATTTATTTAAAGGAATTAAAAACAATACAAATTTTGAAAGAAAACAAAATGGAAAGAAAAATAAAAAATGCAAAGAAAAAATAGAAAAAGGGAAGGAAAGGAAAGATAAGGTGAGTTACAAAGAATCTTCCAATCTTCTTAATAGCAGTTAAAAGCACATTGTTACTTTATGCTCTGTCTCTAAGGTTACAAAACAATTTTCTTTTTTCCATAGTCTTCTTTTTCTAATCATTAAAGCTATAAATCACGAGTTCATTTTTTCTTCTTTTCTCAGCCAAAAGTCCATAAGAGGTTACACTAGAGTCATTGATTGTCCTTTCTCTAATCAAACAAGTCAATTTTGCTATCTCTGCCAATTCTGATATCTTCACCGGCCATTCTTCCCTTAAGGGTATTTTATAATCTTTCCATTTCTATACATATAATAATCTTTAAGCAGTCACCACACATAAAAGCAGTCTTTTACAATTATTTTCTAATTATCTGTCTATTAGTCTCCCAAGAAAAGTTCTGCTTTCAATTGAGTATTAATCATTAAAATTCTTTGTATCAATGTGTATTTGACCCCCAAATTTTCTGGCTTCCATTTGTTCTCCTTGTAGTAGTGCTGCTTTTGAACAGAATGAGAAGGTGATTATAACCCTGCAGGAAAGAGAGAGAGAGAGAGGGAGGGAGGGAGGGAGGGAGATGATTGATAGATAGATAGATGATCGATAGATGATAGATAGATAGATAGATAGATAGATAGATAGATAGATAGATAGATAGATAGATAGATAGATAGATAG